TGTGTGTGTGTGTGTGTGTGTGTGTGTGTGTGTGTGTGTGTGTGTGTGTGTGTGTGTGTGAGAGCGTCTGCACTTGTGGCTGCGTGTGTGTGTGTGTGTGTGTGTGTGTGTGCACTTGTGGCTGTGTGCGTGTGTGTGAATACATACTCGCCCATGTGTATTTACGCCCTTGCCTGAGCACCTACCTACTTGTCTGTCCTGCTTGCTTGCCTTGTCTACATACCCGTCTCTGTCCATCTACCTTCCTCCCTGCTGTTGCCTGGCCCGTGCTGCATGGACATCAGCTTCCAATGTGTCCTTCACACACAACCCTACTTCCCCCCCCCGCTCGCGCCACCTAACATCATTGCTTCGTCCCCCCTCCCCGTCCTCACGCCACTGCATCACTACTACAGGGGCGCGTGGGAGCACTTGAAAGGAATGTCACAGCTGGAGGCAAAGGAAGGCTACGTCACGGCAGTGGATGAGCTGGTGGCGTCGAAAGGCGCAGCCCCATCGTCTTCAGAGGCAGAAGCAGGTGAGTTGCGTTTGCACCTGCCGTGAGCTCTGCCTCAACCTGCACTCACGACGCCCGTGCTTGGTTGTTGTTTGCGTTGGTCACAGGGGAGGACGATACGTCGTCGTCGGCGTCATCAAAGAGTGCGTGCGACTGCTTGCAACGTCCATATACGCATCTATCGTGCTGGACCTGCATTTTACACGGATGCGAGCACTCAATACATGTCTCTCTTCGCAGACGAGCACCTCATTCTCGCCCTGCTTGCTCGCATGCTTGCTTACATGTACATGACTGTTGCAGGCAGCGCCCTTGGTCCTGTGATGAGCATCATGGCAAACGCAGCCGCGGAGTAAGCGTGTGATCTGCCTGTGATGCCCCGAGACACCGATGACAGACACCGCAATGCACCCTTGCTAACTCGCATGTGTCTGTGTCTGTGTGTGTCTGCGTGTGTCTGCGTGTCTGTGTGAGGTGCAGGGAGGAACCGCGGGCTGATGACATTTGGAAGTGGGCCAGCGAAGGTGCGGTGGCAAAGTTGAAGCAAGCCATCAACGCAGACACAGCTGGCACACTTGGCGCACGCGACAGTGACGTACGTTGGAAGGCCGTTCGTGTGTGCGTGTGTGTGTGTGTGTGTGTGTGTGCGTGTGTGTGTGTGTGTGTGTGTGTGTGTGTGTGTGTGTGTGTGCGCACACGCTGCTCTGCCACACCCAAGACAACCCCCCTCCCCTTTCATCTCTGTACTTGCCTCCACTGTGGCCTTGCTTGACCCCCTCTCCCTACTCCTTCTCCCTGCTCCCTCTCTCCTCTCGTCAATTGTAGCTGACGTTTTGCGGTTCCCGTTGCGCCCTTGTCTCTGTTACATCATTGCTCTTGCCTCTCTCAGCGCTGTGTGATGCCTACTGTGTATTGGATGCCGTCGAGTGTATGTACAAAGCGAACGAAAGGAGCGAGCGGTGTCGCGTAACAAGTGCAATGGCCGGCGAAGGTGGGAACAGTTGCAAGGGGAAGATAGAGTGAAGAAAGGAAAGAAGATGTATGGACAGCGAGAGAAGAAAGAAGAAAAGGCGGGGGGGGGGTGCAAATGCACGCACACACGCACACATCCCGGACATGTGCATTCGCCTCCACGGCACAACTACGTGCACACTACTTGTTGTTCTGGTCTTGGCCCTTTGTCAAGTATTGTCGCAGCGCCTCGCGGTTGCGCTCGCCACGCTCTCCCCACATCTGATACGCTGCACAAAAGTAATGAGAAGGAGACGGAAAGAAGGTGAGGTGTGTGTGCATGTGCGCGCGCGCGCGTGTGTGTGTGTGTGCATGCGTGCATGTGCGTGTGTGTGTGTCATACGTGCAGCTGTATGTACGAATACGAGTGTAAAATGAGTGCAGATCTCCCTCAAGTACACACACACATATGCACGCACGCATGCACACACACACATGCACGCATGCACACACACACACACGTGGACACTGACCGATCCAGCCTTGGATCAATGCAGAGGATAGCAGCCAAATGCCAACGAGCTTCCGCTTCTTCAACGAGTCAAGATGCGTGCTTGACCGCGCTGGCCCAAACCCGTGCTGCTCCCACATCCCTACCTCGCCGTGTTGCTCACTGCAACTCACTCGCTCGTTGCTCGAGGCACAACACACGCACGCACGCACGCACGCAAGTTCACACAGCGCAACAGCAACAGCGGTCAGTGGGTCGGTTGGATTGCACACGTGCTGCCGTTGTGTGTGTCTTCTTGGTCGAAACGAAGAAGAAGATGACGAGGGAAAACCAACACACACAACACAACAACGCCCACACGCTGACAATAGCACGCTCTCCTCCAATCCAGCAGCGCCAGCACCAGCGAGCACCTGTCCGACGCCAGCCATTCTTACGATTCCCACACGCCAGCAGCACACGAGCGAGCACGCACACGCACAAGCGTCCACGACACACGCGCGCGCCTCGCGTCACCGACCGCCGCTCCAGCCAGAGAGCACAGCTCCAACCAGCCCGCCCGCAAGTCAGCCCGCGAGCCACGCAGCCAAGCCATGTCGGTGGGTTGGCGTGGGAAGCGGCTGCTGGCGCTGATGGTGGCCTTCCAGTACTTCCACTGGTTTGATCCGTCCCAGCCGTATATGGCAGCATACATCAAGGAGCGCTACGGCACCGACTCGCAGCATCTCCAGGACGAGGTGTTTGCGTATGGGGTGCCCTTCTTCTTTGCATCGGCGGCGGCCATGGCGCTGCTGTACCTTGTCGCTGGCGCCCGCCTCGCCCTCCTTGTCTGCGCCGCCGCCTCCATTGGCTCCCCAATGCTCGTCCTCTTCTCCGCCTCTCTGAAAGGCGTCCTTCTCTCACAGGTTCGTTGTGTGTGTGTGTGTGTGTGTGTGTGTGTGTGTGTGTGTGTGTGT